ATTCTTTTTTTTTTTTTTTTTAAAGATAAACTTTTAAAAAAAATTTTTTTTAAATTTTTAAAATTTTATTTTTCATAGCGGGGATCAAAGTCGGGACCTTGTGCTTGTGAGGTAGGCTCTGGAACCACTGAGCTAAATCCCCACCCCCACAATTCTTATCTCCTTTGTTATACTAGTTCCTTTTTTTTTTTTGGTACTAGGGATCGAACTCAAGCTTCGGTTCCTTTTTTTTTTTGTATACTAGTGAATAATATTATCATATAGTATTTTAAGTTTGATGTTAGTACCTGCTGTAAATTTTAGAAAATTGATATAAACATTAGGTGGAGTTTGAAATTGGTATTCCTCTAAGAACCTACAGAAGAGACCTAACCTTGATCCTCTTCCAAAAGCCCTCAGGGTGCTTTGATATCTAAGGGGCTGAGTATATTGAGTATATGAGATGGAAAAGGAGTTAAATTCAATAACATAGTTCTTTGTCTGCTGCAGTAGCTAGCAAGTCATCCAATTAGTGCCAATTGAATTGAAGGTGATTATGATCTAGGTCCAGGAGGAACTAGACTAAAATATCATTTCACTCTACAAAGGCCACTGAGCAACTATTTGATGATAATGACTTTAAATCACTCACAACCCATGCCACATATGAACTAGTAACTTGGAGGTGAAAGGCTCCATTTCACATTATCAATCTCTAGGGACTTTCAATCACTCTCATCTTTTCTCTAAGTGCCTTAAATCTTGTGTACTGTAGACTTAAATTTCAACATTTTCAGTGATAAGAGAAGGCTGAGATGAGAAAAGATAGTAAAACCACTAAGAAAGCTCCAAGAATATATTGGCAGTAATGAACCACGTGGTGAAACATCAAAGCAAATGTGTTTTGTCACTTAGAAGCCTGATCAAGTATTAAGTTTATTTGAAATAAGTTTGAATTGGAATTGCTTAGGAAGACTTTTTTTGGGGTTTGGGTGGAGTCTTATATGTAAAATCTGCTGGCAGGACTTATCACTGCTTCTGTAGCAAAGTATTTGGTACCACTGATACAAATTGAATTGCAGTAGCTGTTGAAATGAATTGTATTCTTCCCTAAAATTAGATCATGTCTGTCATGAAGACTGTGCCTGCTCCTTTCCTATTTTAATTTTTGGGGCTTGTGCAGTGTCTGGGAATAGATTGTACGGTCTCTGCAGACTCTCCAAACACTGTCAGGGAGGGTTTGCTTTCATGGTAGCTGAAGATAATTGCTCTATAAGCCCCAAGATCTGTTCTCTAAACTTGTGGTCCTTCAGTCTTTGTTTCCCAAAGAGAACAGAATGCCTAAATAACTTGTCCTCCCGGTATCACTGCTGGGTGCATTAATGTCTCCTTTTATCTCTTATCCCTCTTGCGCTAAGCTTCAGACTCTCAAGGCAGCATGAGGAAGTATAGCTCATGGACCACCCAGGGATCTGTTTTAGAAAGGGATGGAAGTAATTCAGAAAATATCTTCTATTTCTTGGATCAGGTTAAGTATAACTAGCCATTCTATACTTAGAGTGAGATATAAGCCCAGAACCAGCATTTGTAGCCATGTGTAGTGTTTTTTCCACTATACAAAAGAAAGCCATTTGATATTGGGAAGTCTCAGAATTGCTAAAGAAAATTTCTTCTGGGCTCAGTTGTTGACAGGACTGTTGGATCATAAATTTTTTCATGGGACAAGTGCTTTTTTTTTTTTTTTGCCTAAAACAAAAACAGATCAGGAAAATATCAAGTAGGGTAGCACTGGGGTTCAAAGCTCAAAATTTAAAAAGCTATACCCTATCCCTCTGCCCTTCCTCTTCTCTCTCATCAACTTGTTAATATATACACTTTCATCTTTTGAGCAAAATAAGAAATGAGTAATAGGATTTCTTACAGTAGTAATTATTTCTCCAAATGTATCTCCAAGAAAAGCTTCATTCTTGTAAGTTCAATGTATTTCAAGAAATGCAAGAAAGAAGTAAGTTTTGGACTTTTTGATATTCTCAAGAATGTTTACTTGAAGCATATAAAAAGTACTTTATAGATTATGTAGTAAGTAGATCAATAGGTTAGTGCTCAAAAAAATTAATTCTTTCTCTGTCTCGATTTATCATTCCAGGAGATGTTTCATACAGAACTCTGATAATGTTTTTTTGTTTCTTGTTTTGGTTTTTTGAGACAAGGTCTTGCTATGTAGTTCAGACTGGCCTTGAACTCACTATGTAGCCCAGGATGGCCTCAAACTCGTGGTGATACTACTGCCTCAGCGTCCCAAGTGCTGTTATTACAGATGAGTGCCATTATGCCCGGCTTCTGACAATCTTTGAATTGGATAAAAAGCTGAACAGGGATGAAGATTTATTAAGATTTTGACTTTGCACCTGAGATTGGGTCCTATTTATCTGATGAAGTAATTTTTGCCTATATATAATAACCAGTGTGTTTGAATTTGAACTGTCAGACTCATTCATGGGTTTGAGTCTCTGACTATAATTATATGCTTACATTGATAATCTTTTCTGCTATAGACCTTTCCAAAGTGAAACTGATGAGATTTGATGATCCACTGTTGGGGCCTCGGCGAATACCTGTCCTGGGAAAAGAACACACTGAGAAGACTCCCATTTCTGAGCATGCTGTTTTCCACGTGGATCTCATGAGCAAGAAAATTCATCTCACTGAAAATGGGCTACAGGCAGATATCGGCGATACAATTATCTACCTGGTTCATTAAACGCATGGAGGGCCGGGAATTTAGCTCAGTGGTTCCAGCGCCTGCCTCACAAGCACAAGGTCCCGAGTTCGATCCCCAGTACCAAAAAAAAAAATCAGCATTTGCTCTTAAATAAAAAAACGCATGGAAACTGGAAATTTGCCAAGGTCTAAGATATTATTACTTTAAGAACCTACATAGATTTTATTTTTAACCATCAAATTCTGCATGTAATCATAACTATACCAGGTAATCTTTGATTCTTAGACTTAATAAATTTTTTTCCCCATCTTTGGGCCTTTAAGAGAAATGGTTTGTGCGATGCTTTTATTATTATTATTATTATTATTATTATTACTGTTTTTGGAACAAATTATTGCTATTTTCTAGAAGCTTCTAGTCTTCAACACAAAAGTCAGTATATTTTTTAATGAGATATACTTTCTATTGTTTATGAAGGCTAGGAAGTGTCTCACAGCTTTCTATGTTAAGGAATTAGCTATATTTCTTACATAACAAAATAGTAAAATAGGCAACTAGTTCTATTTTTGTTAAATAAAAGAAAATTTTTTTGTGTGTGTGTGGTACCAGAGATCAAACTCAGGACTTTGTGCTTGCAAGGCAGGTGTGGTGCCATTGAGCTAAATCCCTGGCCCCAGGAATTTTTGTTTTGTTTTGTTTTTTGAGACAGGGTCTCACCATATAATTCAGATCAGCTGTGAACTCACTATGTATCCTAGGCTGGCCTTCAACTCTTCAGTGATCGTCCTGCCTCAGCCTCCCAAGTGCTGGGATTATAGACATGTGCTACCATGCCTGGCAATAAAAGAATTCTTATGATGACATAAAGGAACAAGTCAGAATATTTTGACTTAATTATGATTGCTAAATGTTTTGTATAAAGAACAAATAGATCCCATATTTTATAAGACTTTAAAACTTTAATATATTCACTTAACTGATTGTTTTTCAAAGCTAATATTAATAGTTTATAAGTAGTTTAGTTTATTTTTTAGTTTATCTACATTAAACATAGGCATCATATCCCTTAGAATCTATATTTATCAAATTTGTTTTGAGTCTAATTGTGTTTAAAGATCCTGCTGACTATATTATAAACTTAATCTTTTATTCTTTCTGGAAAATCTTTTAATAATTATGCATATGTCTTCATAGGAAAAAATGTAAGGTATTGACTAGGAGAGGAGAAAAACATTACTATTCTTGATGGGTTCAAATCGGGAAAGACCAGTTTTGATAACCCTGAGAATCTGAATTCTAACTTTGAGGTCATGTGAACAGGTTTTTTTTCAGCTTCCTTTTTTACTCTAAAATTCAAGAGTACATAGCCAGGTTGAATGCTTTACCATAGATCTACTGAAACAAATCATAGTCTTAGAACTGAAAGATCCTTAGAAATCATTAAGTACAGTTCATTATTTATCTGCTCAGGGCAGGGAGTATGGATGGCATAGTGGGCCATGATTGCATGCTCTGAAGTTGGAAGACTTTAGTTACATTAGGTTTCCAGTTCTTTGATTTGCTATGTGGGTGGTCTGGGCAATTACTCAGAGCTTTGATTTCATCTATAAGGTAAAGCTAATAATAGAACCTACTTTTTAGGTTTGTTGTCCGATGTTTAAGTATAATCTAGGAAAATCATGTATACAGCACAGTGCCTGGCAAGTAATAAGCTCTCAGTAAATGTTACTGATGAATAATAATGGTAATAATATATGTGCATATATTGTCCTAAGATTGCTATACATTATAATTACGCTCTTTGTATTGGTTCCTTTGGGCGTCTGTGTTTTCTTTTTTCTTTTCTTTTTTTTTTTTGGAGACAGGTCTTGCTAAGTAGTTCAGGCTAGGTTGAAGCCTCAAACTTGCTGTAATCCTCCTGCCTCAGCCTCCCAGGTCCTGGGATTACAGGTGTGAGCTACCATGCCAGGCTAAAATTATTTAGGTCTTGGAAAGAGTGCTACATGGGTAACTTCCATTACATCATAGGAGCATTAATATATTATAGATGTGTTCCATCTTTGGTGGTACTAGGTTAGATCACTTAGTTAAAATGATGTCTGTATTCCTCCATTGAGGTGCTGTCTTCAGATTTAAAAAGTCTGAATGCTTGTCTCCCTCCCTCTTTCCCCTCATATGCTGAAATGTAGCCCCCATGGTGACTCTATTAAGAAGTGGGGGGAAAAAAAAAGAAGTGGGGTATTTGCAAGGTGAGAGTGGGTTCTCAGGGCTGCTGCTCTTGAATGAGGTTAATGTGTTTGTGAAAGGGCTTGCGGGAGCTCTGTTCCTGTCCACCATGTGAGGATGTGTAAAAGGTGCTATCCTCTGAAGAATGGCCCTTCTCCAGAACTTGACCTTGGATTTTGCAGCCTCCAGAACTATGCAATACATTTCTACTATTTATAAGTTACCAGTATAGGATACTTTGTTATAGCAGCCCAGCTGAACTCTGACGCCTGTTTATAAGCAAGCTTTTACCAGGGGTGATATTTGTGGGTAATCTTTCTGTCTCTTATTATGTTGGAGGTTATAATATGGTGAGTTCTTAAAAATGATTAGCATTTCTTCTACATGTATTAAGTATCATTCTATAAGAGGATTCTATAAGAGGATTGTTTTCTTTCATCATTTTTTTTTTTTTGGTATCGGGGATCGAATTCAGATCCTTGCACTTGCACAGCAGGCGACAAAACCACTGAGCTAAATCCCCGGCCCTCTTTCATCATTCTTTTCAAATCACTGTGGACTGTTGTATTTTGTTTTTGTTTTTTATATATGCTGTAATCTATTACCCCATCATTATTCTTTGACTGCTCACATTTTCCTAAATTAACCAGTAGGGGCCCCATTCATACTGGCTCCTGAGTCCTTTAGTTATCTCTCCATCAGATTTGGAGCATTTCTTTGCATAAGAGCTGGCTCACTTTGTCCCAGAACTGGAATCTCTTCTTTTCAAGGAACTCTCCTTCATTTTAATGGAGAATGTATTAAGAAAGCAAGATCCAAGTGTTTTTTGTGTACTTACTGCTACCAAATACATTGCTTTTTTAGGCTTTTCCAGTGGATGGAGCTAGGAAATGTACCAGTGAATACACCTAGGAAATACATGTATTTTTAAGTTGTAATTCTGTCTTGAACCATATGACTTTTTTTTTTTTTATGTCCTCCCCCTTTTTACACAGAACTCTGGTTCCTAAGAACCTTACTATATGTACTCATTTGGTCTATTAGTAATTTCAGAATTACCATTCCAATATTACTATTAACAAATCTAAGTAGAGTTCACTGTTTTGTTAGTTTTTTTTTTATTGCATTCTTAAAACATATCTCACTGAGGGATATAGAGCACTATAGTCAAGTATTTCTTGAATTAATTTTTTTCATATGTGCCACTCTGAGTATTTCTTGAATTATTTTTTGTATGTGGTTTTAATATACAGTTAAAGTTATTGTTTCTTTTTATATTCAGTTTTATGGTTTGCTTTTTTTCTTATTTATTTTTTGAATAAGCAAAATACATGATTCAAAAGGCAAAACCATAACCATTCAGAGAATTCTTATTCTCTTGTACTGCTTCCCACTCACTTAGTAGCTAACTACTGCAATTAATTTCTGGGTTATATTTCTCATTTTTTTCTAAAAAAAAAAAGGGACAAGTAATTTATATATACTTCTTATACAAACAGTAGCAAGATATAGCTATCCATAGAATTATATCTAAAACTATTTTATACCTTTTAAAAGTTAACAACATAGGTGGATATTTTTCTACTCTTGTTTATAGAGATCTTTTTCTCCCCTCCCTCTCTGCCCCTCTTCTCTCTCAACTCCCCTACATAATACTGTTATAAAGGTGTACCATAATTTATTCAACCAGTCTCCTGTGGATGGGCATTTAGGTTGTTTCTAAGTACTTGATATTTTATAAACTTTTTTTTAGAATGAATAGTGTATAGCCTTATAATAAGTGGCTTCATATTTGTGGAGGTGTATTTTCAGAATAAATTTCTATTAGTGGGCTTATAGGTCCAAGGGTAAATGCATATGTAGTTATATTAGTAGATACCCAGGCAAAAGTTTACGCGGAGGGAAGGGCCAAGTACAAAGGCATGAGATAGGGGCATTTGGGCATGTAGCTAGTCTGCTAAAGGAGCAACAAGGAGGCCACATGAAGAAATGGGTCTAGTGTGAAAATGGGCTACTCAAGGTACTAGTGTCAGAGCACTGAAGTAGAGGCACTGTATTCTGTGTTCCCAGATGATTGCAGCACACTTGGTAGAGGCAAAGAATTAATGAATTGTGGCCTGGAATTCCCTGTGTAGCCCATGAACATTGGATCTTCCTAACTCATCCTTCCAAATGCTGGGATTATAGGCATGCACCACTGTGCCTGGCTCTCTACTTACTGTCTTTGGACATAATGCTCAGCCCCAAAATTTGTAGCATCAATTAAGTTTCAATTTACTCACTGCTATTCATGGAGCTTAACTGGTTATGTGGTAAAAAGAAAAAAACCCCAAAAAACCAGGGTAGGACATGACCCTCACTCCCAAGGGACATAAGGAACAGTAGGTGGCAGTATGTTCCTCTATCTCATGTATTTACTGGAAGGTAAGTTCAGAGTTGTGCTGTCCAGTGCTTTAGCCACCAGCCACATGTATCTAGAGAGCACTTGAAATTTGGCTAATTTGAATTAAGGAGTGCTTGCTCTAAGTGTAAAATATGCTCTGGATTTCAAAGACTAGTATGCATGGCCGGGAATTTGGCTCAGTGGTGCTGCCACCTGCTTTGCAAGTGCCAAGTCCTGAGTTTGATTCCTAGTACCAGAAAAAAAACTATTTCCACAGCTTCTATTGCAAATTACTGTTTTTTCTTTAAAAAAAACACTTCAGAACATTCCATTGAAATGATACATTTTGAGTACTTCTGGATCTCTCCAGAGTTCATATATATATATTTTTTCTTTTGCAATTAGAAATATGTAGCGTGATACTTTGACACCTTGAGAATATTCTGTTCCCAATCTTTTTACCTAATAGATTAGTGCCTCTTGAAGATACTTTCCTAATAAGTAGTTATGATGGGGGCTATGCAAAGTGATTTTCTTATGCTATTTCTTTTTTTTAACAGTAGGCATTCTTCTGTACTGTACTTTTTTTTCACTCATTTGTTAAAAATGAATTAGCTGAGCCGGGGATTTAGCTCAGTGGTGCTGCCACCTGCCTTGCAAGTGCAAGGTCCCGAGTTCGATCCCCGGTACCAAATTTAAAAAAAGTGAATTAGCTGTGTGGTATGTGGATGAGTCACTTAATACAATAGGTGTTTAATTAGGAAAGTTGGATATAAATGAAAATTTAAAATATGGAATTGTAGCTTACATGTACAATGGTTGTCCACTCTTCAAGGGAAATGTACTGGACATCCTTTTTTAAGAAAATCTAGTTATCACTACTTTTATAACCTGAATTTTCATGTATGACACAATTATTCAATGAATTATTGAGTTCTTATTATATGCCAGACAGTGTGAACACTTGGCGTAGCTGTTCTTAAGGTAGGATACTATGTAGACGTAGGATGTCTTAACTAAACATGTAGTTAAGACAGTGACAGTTGCCCAGAACTGTGGGAATGAAGGCAATTGTGAAACTGTCCTACAAATCTCGATTTGGAAGTGTTACATGCTTTTGCTGCAATCCTAGGTAAGTAAATGCTTTGAAGTCCAAAACCTGTATTATTCTTTATAGGACTGATGAAAAGAATATATAGTATAGTTTTCAATTTGCTCTTACTGTCTTTCTAATGTAACATTGAATTATGATTTCAAATTCTAGCCCTTAGTGTGTAATTTTGCCTAATTTTTGGTCCTCCAAAGACATTTCCCAGTGTGTCCAAGGTCCATCCCTCTGTGAAGCATGTCTTAGAGGCATATTTCAGTGGCTTTTCAAAACAGTAGGGAGGCTTTTACCAGCCAAATCCTGCTTTGTTCACTAGTGTCCTTCTGGACTGAGTAGGAAAGAAGCATGATTTTCCTGGCATTAACAGTGCAGTTCATGGAAGAGCGAGGGATTCCTAGAAGTTTGAAATAGGCTTAGGGGCTTGTGCCAACCTAACCAGTCTGGAATTTGAGAAGGCCACATTCATAAGATTGTTAAGGGCTGGGATGTAACTCAGTGGTGCTGTACCTGCCTGGCAAGCACAAAGTCTTAAGTTTGATCCCTGGTACCACATACACAAAAAAGATTGTTAAGTATTGTATCTGGACTGAATGATCTTCCCGTCCCTGCTTTTGGATGTTTTGATACACTTCATCTTGCTCAGTTGGACCAGTAGTCCAGAGATTTAAGTGAGGCCCCTGCTGCTTCTCAGCCATAGGATGGCAGAAATCAGCTTCTGAGACTTCCAAGGAAAGGTTGAGTGACAGTTATACTTTGCTGGATAAATGCTTACTAGAGGTCCAAAGCCTCATGTGCCCATAAGTGGGGCTTTTGGGAGGTGACTTTTTCGCGAGGGGCTTTTGAGGTCACAGGGACATGATACTGATCAATGGATTTCTCCACTGATGAGTTTACAGCTAAATGTGATGTTGGGTGAAGCCTCATTGGAGGAGATGCCTCACTGGGAGCGTGGCCTGGAAGGATCTATCTCTTCTTCACTCTTTCACCCTCTCTCTGCCTTCTACTGCAATGTCATAAGCACATCTTCTCTGCCATGCCCCTCTGCCAAGCCAGTGTGCCTTGGAGCCAGCTGATTATGGACTGAAATCTCTACAAACTGAGCCCAAATCTTTCCTCTTTAAGTTGTGGTTGTTTAGTATTATATCTCAGTAACAAAAGTGTATGTACTGCCGAAGTGAGCACTTTCAGTGACAAAAGACAAAGCATCTCTTAAAGCCAAAGAGTTTTCCCAGTAAAGATGTCTTTTACATTTTTTAAAAAAATTTAAGCCAGGTGTGGTGGCACACACCTGTTATCCCAGCACTCAGGAGGCTGAGGCAGGGAGATTGCTTCAAGTTCGAGACCAGCCTGGGCTATATAGTTCAGGGCCAGCCTGAACTACAAAGGGAGACCCTGCCTCAAAAAACCAAACCAAACCAAACAAAAAAAACAACTCAAGCTGCATCTCTAGTATTTCCTTTCAGATTGGTAAAAATAGTCATTTGAAATGTCTTTTTTTGGGGGGGGGATCGAACTTGGGACCTTGTGCTTGCGAGGCAGGCAGTGGCACCACTGAGCCAAATTCCCAGCCCATTGAAGTGTCTTTTATTTTGAGACACGGTCTTACTATGTAGTCCAGGCTGGCCATAAACTATATAGCCCAGGTTGACCTCGAACTCATGGCAATCCTCCTGCTTCAGCCCCCGGAGTGCTGGAATTACAAGCATGCACCACCACACCCGGCAAAACGTCTTTAAAGTGATACAATATCTGTGAGTTATACTGCTATGACCTCAGGTTCTAGAATATCAAATCAACATTCTTTTAAAGAGATATTTTAGGTTGATCCTAAATCTAGAATCGGTCCTCTTATTGCCAAAGGGAAAGGGATCCCCAAGTGACAAGAAGACACTTCCTGCTATGAACTGGTTTGGATGTTACTTCTCTAAGTGTCCTCAGGATGTTTCCTTACTCAACGCACACTCACCTCTGCTGTTTTCACTGATCTCATCTGAAGATGGACATTTTATTTCCAATTTGAGGTAGTAAGTAGGATATGCAAACCCCACACCCACAACTTTTGCACTTTAGTTGGAATATCAGGCCAATCTCTGCTTGATTCCTAGGGAGAGGGACACTGGGCTTGGGAAGAAAGTGATTTCAGTCTTTCCCCAGGAAGGGGAAGGGGACCTTGCTTGGCTGGTGAAAAGAACTGGCTTGGGTAAAAGGATAACTCCTCATTCTTAGCTTACAATGTTGCACCCTGATCAAGTGAACTTTAATCTGGTGACTGCCAATAATTTCCACCCCTTTGAAATCAGAATTCAAGGGTTTTGGCATTCGTTAAGAATGTGAAATAATCCAGGACACCTGAATAGAAGGCAGAATAAACTCTAGTTTGTTAAGATGAGAAAAGAGAGTGACATGAAGCCCTCCAAGCTGAATGAAGTACTAGGCATGTGGGGACATGCAGTGGAGAAAGTACTTAGTTGCTAGGAGAGGAAGAGGATAGAATAGAATGAGGCAAAAGGGGTAAGTGTCCATCTTCTGACACTTACCTAGCCATACTTCTGTCCCCCACTAGTTAAAGCTACCTACTACTTCTGCTGACTACAGTTACCAGCTTCCTTGGTTTGCATGGGACTGTATTGGTTTTAGCACTCAAAGTTCTCCATCTCAATAAAACCCTTAGCCCTGGGAAATTGGGATGGCTAATTGCCCTGGCTAAGTTTTAAGGGGTTGAGGTAGCACGTGACAACTGAAAAACTGGCCCAGATCTCCTTTCTCTTTTCTTTGTTTTCAGGAAAGTTTACAGAAAGCCCTAGGGTATATACCAAATCCTGAGATTAATAACAACATCTGCCATGGATGGCATGCTATGTGTCAAGTACATGGTCTTAGTTAATACTGGCAATCAAGGAGCTAGGATGTTTTAAATCCAGTTTTATGGAGGAGGAAGAGACCAGAGCTGAAGGATGTAACAAGTTTTTACTTTCCAGTGTCAAATAACTAGTACGTAGCTGAGGCATATTTGAACTTTAGCATGCATAAGTGAAATTTGTGCTGTTTCCACCAAATGAACTTGAGATAAATGGATAGATTCTCCAATTTAGCATAGTACTGTGTCCAGCAGCTTCACCTACTGTTTCCAAACTCATTCCTGTTCTTCATGGTGGCATAAGGTTTCCCGGGATAACATACAAAAAGACAGTTCAGCAAGCTAAAATAGCTACTTTATACTTGTAGCAGACCCTGATTCACCCTTCAGTTCTTAACGGGGCTAAGTGCCTGTCACATAGAATATGCTCAATGAAGGGTAAATATGGTTGTTATTTTAATTATGGCATACGAGCAGTAATCTTGACTAAAATGTCTTAGCTAATGTATGTAAATTCAAACATTTTAATCGAAAAATCACCAAAGATGTAGTAAGGAAAGAAATAATATATTTCTCCTTGAGTTTGATATTAGGCAAATACCTTTTCCACCAAGGAAAAGCTGTCCTCTTGGTTATTTGATTTGGAATTGATAGAAGACAGGTTTCCTTGCTGTGATAGAAGGTATTATGAGGTCCAGGGATTTAGCTCAGTGGTTTCGCCACCTGCTGCGCAAGCGCAAGCATCCGAGTTCGATCCAGGTGCCAAAAAAAAAAAAAAAAAAAGGTATTATGCACATAATGCTAAGATAGAAGCAAAAAATTCTATTCTAGGCTGAAAGCTGTAGATAGTTCATTTCAGGGGAAAAATCTAACCCAGGTGCTCAGCCCTAAAAAAAATCCCTCTACTAAAATGAGAGATGACAGAAGCTCTTAACATAGTGATGGAAGTTCTCAACTCTGGGGTGACTTTGAGAGGGAAAAGCCTGGGGCTGTTTAGAGGGATGCAGAAATCTTTTAGGCTACCCTCTGCTTTTATTTCATCAATTCACACCAGAGTTGTGTCTTTACTAGAGAATGAGATGCAGCTAGTCATATAATTTAGATTAGAGAAACTAGAGGAAGACTCAAATACAACAGAAGAGACTGAATCCAGTTGATCCATTTTACCAAGTATTTATCATGTATCCACAAGGTTTTTAAGTAAGGTGCTAGATGCTGGGCATAAGGGGAGGAAGAGCACGTGTTCTCCTGGCCTCAGGGAGCTCACAGAAGTAGAGAAATAATTCCAGTGTAAAGGAAGTTTCTTCAGGGCTAGTTTTACTTGGGCTGCTGTAACAAAAGGCCATAAACAGGAAAAACCGAGAAATTTGTTTTCTTACGGTTCTGGAGGCTGGATGTCTGAGATCAGTGTCCCAGCAGTTGGGTTGTTGCGTTTTGGTTAGCACTGTCTTCTTGGCTTACAGTGCTCACATGACCATTCCCCTGTGTGTGTGCGTGCGTGTGTGTGTGTGTGTGTGTGCGTGCGTGGGTGTGTGTCGGGGGGGAGAGAAGAGAGAGAGGAGAGGGGGGGAAGAACAAGAAGAGTAGGAAGAGGGAGGGAGGGAGAGACAGATCTGTGCCTCATAATGCTACCAATCCTATTGAGCTAGTGTCTCACCCCTCTGAGTTCAATTAATTTTATTTTCTAAGAGCCTTATCGCCATATATATGGCCACATTGGAGGCTAGAGCTTCAACATAGACATTTTAGGGAACAAAAGTCAGTCCACAGAAGTAGGCTCTAACTCACATGGAAAACATTAAAATGGGCTTACATTCATTTATCTCTCTCTCTCTCTCTATATATATACACACACACACACACACACACACATATATGTATACACACATACATATATACATATATATATTTATAAATTTGCTCTCCAGATTATTTGGCCACGAGTAATTCATTTAATTACCAGTTGCTACTTCTCAGCAATCATGGGTACTTGGGAATTTTTTCAAAGCAGGAAAATTTACAAATTGCTTTCAAATGTAATAAAATAATAAGAGTTCTACCTTTGACAATGAAATTAACATAATGTTAAATTTTTGTGTTTAAGCATTGATTTGTATTTTGCACTTTTTATATCATGAGCCAATACTCTTTGCAAGTCTTACTTATATAGGCTTTGAAAAACTCATTAGATCCTAAATATTGTTTGTGATGCCTAATGGATAAAGGGGCTGGAGATGTCTTGTAGATCTTCTACCCAATTCTAGGTGGATCACTGCCGACCCCAGCCTGTCTTACAAGCTCTGGTGCAGCATTTCCATTTCTGTTAGGTATCTCTCTTTTTTTTTTTTGGTACCAGGGATCAAACTCGGGTCCTTGCGCTTGCACAGCAGGCAGTGAAACCACTGAGCTAAATCCCTGACCCTCTGTTAGGTATCTCTTGGTGTGTCACTGGCACTTCAGTCTGTGTTTTCTGATCTTCTCTTCCAGTTTGCCTCCTATTTTCTTTGCCATCTCCGTACACTCAACACGTAGCTAGTGGAGGACTTGGAGTCACTATCAGTGGTGTCCACATCTACTGGTAACTTTATTTTGTTTGAAGTATGAGGCAGGTTCTTTACTCTTTCATAGCACACCAGAGGTCAGGTGCAAATTCTTAATGAGGCTGCCCAAAAGAAGCACCTGGGATAATGACCACTGTCCAAGCTCAGACTCATAATATGGCCCTTCTACCCCACTCTTGAGCCACATCTTCCATGAGGCACGGTGTAGTTACCCTTCCCAATGGGAATCACTCCAGCCATCCCCTCTATTACAATTCAGGAAAAACTGACTTTCAGCCCCTGGGTCTTCATTCCTTAATTCTGAATGACAGACAATGGGATTATCCACTTTTCAGAGAAAATCAACCCAAAGTTATACTTTTTGACCCTACCAGGACAAATCATATTACAATTTGATATCAAGATATATTCTGAATGGGGTTATTCACTTAAGTGATATTATTTGTTAAGTTCCATAGCCTAGTCCAGGTTTCCCATTGCTTGTCAGACTGTCTTCAACAAAGGTTCAAGATCCTTGGGATGGACCTCACTCATGTCACCTTATAGCCTGACGTAGTGGTATATTCCTGTAATCCCAGCTGAGGCAGGAGAGTCCCAAGTTTGAGCCCAGCGTGGACAATTCAGAGATGTAGTAAGACACTCTAAAAAATAATAGAAATTTTAAAAAGGGCTGGGGATATAGCTCAGGGGGAAGGCCTTGGGTTCAATCCCCAGTTCCAGAGGTGGGGGTGAAAGGTTACCTCACCTTGTCACACACACTCTGGACACAGTAAACTAGTTATATGTCCTTCAATTGATACAAAACCCCATCAAGTTTTTTCATCTGAACCAACAGAAAGCAGAGAGAATAAGCCAATTAACCAAAGTCAGTCTCCAGGAAGTGCCATGCTGGGATTTCAAATGAACCTTCTTGGTTTCAAAGAGGTGAACTTATTAAGCACTAGGAAACACTGTGGAGGTAGACTAGATATTGAATCATAGTGACAGGATTTGGAACAATAATGCCACTAATAGAGATGGGGCAGAAAGTCATAGAAGAGGGTGTGAGGAAGGGGAGGGAGGAAGATGGTGAAGTCAGGCTAGGCACCATTGGCTTCCTATCTCTTTATCACTGTCTTGCTCAAATGTTATTCTGAACATCTTGGTTTCCAAGTTAATCATCATTTTGACTCTCCAGGACCCACCCACCAGCCTGCCCTGTGGTGAAGCAGCCTGTCCGAGGAGCCAGTAGCAGGACCACAATCACAGCGATTGTTCAGACTGGTGGGGACTGGAGCACTGGCCTCTTCAGTGTCTGCAAAGATAGGAGAATTTGTACGTTTCCCTCTTCATTTAAGTTTCTCCTTACTATTTTCTTTCCCAAGACATCAGTAAGTGTAAAAGCTACATCAGGCTCAAGGATAGCAATTAAATGGGTTCCGAATAACTGGGCTAATCTTCCAGTGACTCACATTTACTCCTCAGTGGAAGAATCTTGCTTTTCAGCAGTGTGGATGCTTTCATAGAATAAGTGGTAGCTTCAAAGATTTTCGTAAATGACAAAATCCTCTGTTAGCAAAGATGCACAAAATGGGCTCCCGGGTTCCCTTATCTTCTGGAGGTGGGGGTGTAAAGCCTCCCTGGTAGATGGCTTAGCGATACATATAGAGAGACCCTCAAGAGTTACATAGCTTTTGACCCAATAATTGAGGTTTTTACACTTTTTTTTTCTTAAGGTGCTGGGGATCAAACCCAGGGTCTGGCACATGTTAGGCAAGTACTCAACTTCTGAGATACATCTCAACTCCAATAATTACATTTTAAGGAGTTTAGTCTAAGGAAATAAATCATGGTAAAGATTTAGGCAGGAAAATGAAAAATTTTGGCAAAAGTGTGGAACAATGTGAACATTCAGCAGGGGGCACCAACAATGAATTATTATAACCATGAAAAGTCACAGTAGAGTAACATTTAATGAAATGAAAATATCTTTTGGAAGGGCTGGGGATTTAGCTCAGTGGTTCCGCTGCCTGCCTCGCAAGCACAGGGACCCGAGTTTGATTCCTGGTACCAAAAAAAAAAAATTTTTGGATACATTTTTAGGTTAAAGAAACAGATTGTAAACTATGCACATTAGATACCATTTTTAGGGTGGTGTGCAAACATTTAGAAAAAAGTCTGGAAGGATACAGATAAAAATATTTATAGCAGATGTCTCCAGATGGTACACTAATGAATAATCTTCCTTCTCCCTCTCCCTCCCTCTCTCCCTCCCTCTCTCTCTCTCTCTCTCTCTGTTTTCTAGCACTGGGGATTGAACCTGGTGACTTCTCACTGAGCTAACCTCCCTAGCTGTTTTTTAATTTTAATTTTTTATTTTGAGACAGAGTCTTACTAAGTTGCCCAGGTTGGGCTTGAACTTTCAACACCCCTGCCTCAGCCTCCCAGAGTATTGAGATTACATTTGTGTGGCACCATGCCTGGCTTTTTTATTATCTCGTTTACTATTTCTATGAAGAATGTCTCATACTCTCATAACAATAAGACTGATCACAAAAAGAAACTTCTTGTGTTGATTGAAATCTTCAGACACTGGTTCAGCTCTAAAGAAGTACAAATAACACCATCCTGTAGCTTCACAGTCCCCCCTGGATTTGAGTTAAAGCATATGGATTCAATCTTTACTTTCAGACATTCTGCTCCACCTCTGATACAGCATGTCAGGAATCCACTCTAGGACCTGGTGCTAAAACCCTAGGGAGAAATTGAGTCATAGACTCTGTCTTGGAGGAGGTAGTGGTGGGGTAATCATCCAACAGATGAAAGTCAGTCTGTGAGAAATATAAAAGACCCCAAGTCTAATATTTTTGAGGAATGTGGCGGCTTCCAGAAGCATCTGAATTTATCCTAAAGCATCACAGGATGGATTAGCCGGAGCACTCTGAGCAAGTCCTCATTCAGCTGAGGGTCGTCCTTGTGGCTGTGAGCTCTGCAGGCCTCGTCCTGGCACTGCTACCCAGGTGACTTCTGACCAGACCATTATGGCACCAGTTCTCTGGCTGTCCCGGGAATTTTCTGTTTCTCTGTTTTTAGGCCTTTGGTTGTCACTTGGTACAGAGAAGGTAGAGTAGTCAGGCAGAGATGTGGAGATCTTGCTCAAATTGGTAAATGGACCATTTTCTTTTAATAGCATATGGTTTGGGGTTAGGGTACATGAATGCAATTCCAACTAAAGCAAAACCTAGAATATAATGTAGTGAAGAGAACAGGTTTATAAGAGAATAGACCTCACCCTGAATCTTCCTTGTGCTCTTACTGACCGTGTAACCTTGAGCAAGTTCTCTAGGTCTTCATTTTCCAGTTCTAAAATGAAAGTAATAAATGTGCCAACCTCAAGAGTTGGTGTCAAGATTAAAGCAGATAATACATAGAACCCACTCTTTTTTTTTTTGAAACATGCAGAGAGTTTTATTTATCAGGAATGTTAATACTTATATGTACTTGTAGAACAGAATCAGAGACGTGCAGGCAAGGTTATTAGTAGGGCTCAAGGGTTTAGCACAACATCTAGTACACAGTAGGTTGCTCAATAGGATGTCTTAGTTCTCAGATGCCAACTTCTGGTACAGATGATTATCAATTAGTCATTTTTTATATAGATGCTTTTTGACTATTGTTCAAGAACCCACTCTTAATGCTAGTTTGGCTCAGTCAGGGATTTTTGGTTACAAGCTATACCAGATTAATTAGGGTTTCCTTAAAATGTATGTACACTTGCAACCTCTGGGTGTGACCATACTTGGAAATAAGGGTTTGCAGTGTGACTACCTGGATTAGGGTAGGCAGGAGACAGATTCTTCCTCAGACCCCTCAGAAGAAATCAACTCTGGCAACACCTTGATCTTACACTTCCAGCTTCCAGATTCTGCAGGGAGAGAATAATTTCTGCTGTTTTAAGGTGCTCAGTTTGTAATATTTGCTATGGGAGCCCTAGGAAAGGAATGCACACGTAAATGTTAGACTTTATTAGAAGGCTATGGGCTAGCTCATAGTATCAAAAGATCAGCTGGAACCCAAGCTCAGAAAGAATTATTACCAGGAACTTACTGACAATCCAAGCAATATCAAATGTTTTTGTTCTTGTGTCATCCTGTCTGAGAATTGAAGTTTTAGCAGTAGTTTCAGCTCAGTTTGCCTAGTTTAGGTCATATGCCTACTACTTGGTGAGGCCTATCAGTGTTGCTCACAATAATGAAGGGATAATTTCCTAAATCTACAATTAGGGTGGTATCACCAGGAAAATTCCAATGAATATTACTACAATGCACTTAATGAATTTTAGCTATTAAGATGATTGTCACTCTATATTTTAAAATTATCCTTCAGCATGCTGAGAGCTAAGAGTAGAGACACCAGGCTTACACTGGATGCTACAGTGATTTCCATATAATACCTAGGGCATCTAAAAAGCTTGTCAAAGAAAGGCTCATTCCTCAACCATCCTTTTTACCTTGAACATTGCTTTATTGCTCAGCTCTTTTCTAACTCCCATCAATGTTTGTGATATCAGTCACAGAATTTCCTGAGGATTTCCTCATCCATTTGAGAATCTATTCTAGAGATATATAGATATTCTAGAATCTATTCAAGAGAGAAGAAAGGAGAAATAAAATATTCTTTACAATTGGGCATGAATCGTGATGGGGAAGCATGGGTACAGCATTCAAGGTGATGTTGAATGTTATGTCTGTCTCCTAAGTGGGTCTCCATTTATAAATTCTCATAGTGACTCTAATTTAATGGTCTCAGAAGAAAATTCAAAGGTAATACCAATTTGTGCATTCATTATCTGCACCATAATTCTGAGGATGCAGTTGGAGTCTGTATGTTACGAATCTTGAGCTTCTTCCCCTCCTTGTTTAAAAAGACTTCATTGCAAATTATTTCATCTTCAAAGTTTCATTGTAAGTAAATCATTGTGCAAGTAGTTGTGACAGACTTGTGAACAAAAGGAATCTTCTTTCTTTGACTGTTCTATGCCAGATTCCCATCCTGGGACATTTTTCCATCAAATGCTGAGAATTATTGCTACATTTTTCAACCATTAAGCAAAGGGTACATTATGAACAGCAATGATTTCCATTTCTTTTGACATTTTACATCTTCATTTTACCATAATTATTTTTAAAAATTGCCCCCTTCTTCCCAACTTTGTGGTTTTTTTCTGAACTCACACTGTACTGGGATTAGGAAATGTGTGTCTCTGTGTCCTTTGAAGATAGAGTATCTGAGAACTTAAATGTGAAGATGATGCCAAGGTGAAATAAGTAGCTGCTAAATGGCATTGTGGTAAAAGACTGAGTACTCTGGCTTTGGAAATATTTGTGATGTCACTGCAAAGAAAGTTCATATGGATGGTATAATCAACATTGTGCTGTGATTCAACCAATGTTTACTGAGTTCAAACCTATGTATAGGCACATGATATATGTTCCAGACATAATAGTGAATAAGGCAGAGGTGATGTTTTTAGAAGAGATAGATAAATCAATAAAAAAAATAATTACAGTTGTGATAAATGCCATGAAGGAAATAAACACGGTGCTGCAAAGGGAAATTATATTGGGTAGGGGACTTCATTTAAACTCATAGCTGAAGGATATGAGAGTCAGCTCCTCAAATACTTTCCCGGTGGAGGGCAATATAAGCACCAGACAGTAAAATCTTTTGATGTGTACTGGGACCCATGAAATGCCCAGTGAAGGTGGAAGCAAGCAAAGCAGGATTTTCTTTGGATTTCTCGTAGAGGAAGGAGGCAGAAAAGGTGTCAGATTGGGATTTGTGTCCCCATGCTGCATCTCAGGTAAACTTCAGACTCCCTGAAAAGAGGCCACAGTTGTCTCTTACTCCCTGCTCAGAGCCCAGGAGAACACCTGGCCCATAGGAGACACAAAAATATTTCCTGAAATCAACACTTAAATGAAGAAATTGTAACCTTTATTGTCATTTGCTGCTTTCTTTCATGTACTTGATTGTAAGAATCAAGCAGCCTTAGAATTGGAAGGAGATTAGAACCCATCTGTTACCCTAATCCCCTCCGCAGCATACCTGGAAATGGCTACAGCCTCAGCTTCCTGGGCTTACAAGGGAGGAAACCCCATTGCCTTTGGAGTCAGCTCCGTGCTTTTTTTCAAATCATTTTGAATAGGTTATTATGAACATAATACAGAATTCAAAATTACCCTTTTTATGTAGGAAAAACAGGTACTCCATCCTTTTTTCTGTTCACCCAGGTCTTTTCCCTACAAACAAATATTCTTCCTTGAGTCCAGATA